TTTCATTAAATATTAAATATAATAAATAACACTATATATTTCACTAAATATCAAATAAAATGAGCATTAAATAAGTGTAAAATTAAGCTTTAATCAATTAATCCAGTAACTATATGTCAACTCTGTTTCATATCAATTAAGAGTCATTTAGCAACAATAAACACTGAAAACGTTGATTACATAGACTTTAGAAATCTTCTGGTTACTTAGTAAACAACTAAACATTAAGCTACAAAGTCATGGAAAAACGATTTACGTTATTGAGTTTATTCAGTCTATGATTTTTTAAAAGCATTATTTAGGTAAAGAGAATTATATTTAAGATTTGTAAACAGTTCAACAAATTTTAATTAAAGCTGTTGTGAAGTTTTGCGTTAGGATAAAATAGTTTTGCATTACTTGCTGGGTTTTAATCATCATCTAACTAATGTTGATCTCTGATATAAACCATAAAAGCTAAATACATTGAATCATAAGGGGTCGAAAATACTATTCATAATACTACAAACATAAATTATCTTAAATAGTTATCATAACTGAGAATCTAAGTAAGGTAATTTTATTGAGTGCCTCTTAAAACAACTTTTCTAACTGTTCTATTAATGTTAAATGAAACGAAGGATGCGTTCTCAAAATCAATGTCAAGTAATGTTTCCAAAACTGTCATCGATATAATTCATTACCTAAAAATGCTGTATACTATCTAATGAATAACATGTAACTTCACTCTAACTCATTTTCTAGTGATCATATTTAACTACATAGTGGCTTACTATATAGTAAATTTTTTTAAAGGCAGGTGGCAATCAAAACAGTAAAACTCTGTCTCAGAACAATGGAGACAATAATTAATTTCTAGTTTTTTCCAATTTACCTTTCTTCATTAAGTGGTATATATATATATATATATATATATATATATACTGCTATACCTTAATACTATGAAGGGAAAATTGTACAAAAAAGTAAGGACAGTAGTATTTGCTAAAAAAGTTGCTAAGCAACTTTAGAATAATATAAGCCAATATAAACTCATAGTTTTTAATTATTCTGATCTTTATTGTTGCTGATATTATCATTTTTACGATTTCTACTAGTATTGAAATTCAAAATTAAACTCATGTAAATTTCAAAATATAGTATTATTTCCTTGAGCGAAATTCTAAATACATTTAAGTATCCCTAAGATATTAGTAGTGTTATATGGGACAATCAATATTACAGTATTGTTATTAAGTTTTTTAAACCACGCCCAGTTTACCTTTTGTTTATTAGTTCATGTACTGATAATATAATCTGAAGTATATATTCATTTCAATGGACAATATTCAATATTTTGTCTATATATATATATATATATATATATATATATATATGTATATGCGAGTAATGATATAAGGGACTAGCTAAATAATTTTAAAATGAAGCTACTTTGATACTTACTATAATGTATCTAAGTATTAGAAAGGTATTACTTGTATGTTTAATGTGACTATATTCAGTTATGTAAATTGCACATATATTGATTGTTCATTGATTGGTAATCAATATTAAGTTGTTTATTTCTTAATAATGGTTGTATTCAATTAATCAGTTTGAAATGCAACTATTATACCACATGAATCGACTTTTAAGTGACCTATGCTTAAACAAATGTGATTTATTGGTTATCATGCAAAATGCTGTGGACCTAGTTTTCGTGTACGTTTGCAAGTTATACTGACGATGTTAAATAATGAAGATGTTTTCAGAGAAATCTGAAGCTGTATAAATTAGTATTTCTGTATGATACTATTTCTTTATTAGCAAATTTGAACACTGTAAACTCTTTGAGATAAACGATATTTTATTGAAGCTTTATTAAATAATTGAATTCATGAGTCGATTGAAGCTAGACCACCATGGAAAACTTGGAAGCACTGGATGACCGTTTCATCCTAGTATGGGACTTCTCAGCAGTACGTATTCACGACGCGGCCCTGCGAGATTCGAACCCAAAATCAGCGCTTCCAGGTTTTTCATGGTGGTGATTCATAAATTCAATTGTTAAGTTATTACAATCTCCACAAACCCATTTCTGACCACCGTTTTATTGTTTATATCAGTGAAACAAACTATAGCACACTTTGATGACTATTCATTTTATAAGGTGGATAAAGTCATTACATCTGACTACACTAAATACCCATTCATCAAGTAACAAATAACGGTAACAAGTTTTAAAAGTCATATAGAGGATCAAAATGCATTTGGTTTTTATTTAATAACTTTAAATATATGATGAAGTCTTGAATGAATAATGTTAAATACAAGTAGTTTATTAAGATGAGTTAGTATAGAAACTTATTGAAATATACCTGTTTTATCATGTCTCGCTGTAAATTCTTTAAAAAAACATTCTGTTTACAGTACACACAGGATTTCTTACGTTTAAAGTTTAAGATAATTTTATTTTGATCTGAACTATCTGCATTACATAAATCGTCAAGTAGCAATTAATTTAGTTTTTTTATATTTTCTTTTCCTGGATTAGAAATAAGACATATTCTAGAGAGATATGATATTTCATTCATGTTATCAAAATTCTTTGATCATGATAGTAGATTACAAGGAGTACAAATCCTATAGGTATTATGATCAATCAGCGTAAATATGATGTATGTATATATGTACGTATGTATGTAAAACTTCATAACTATTTTTAATAGTTTAATACCAAACCTTTGAAATCTATGAATTTTTCTTCTAAGATTTATTTTCAAATGGTGAGCTCTCAAATACTTCGGATTTTCCAACGTTTTATTGTTTGAAATGACTAATAAATATAAGTCATATGATTTAAAATTCTATATGGAGAATTCGTGAGAATTATAGCATTTTTGCAAAAGAGATAGTTATCCAACGCAGGTAATGGATCAAGGGTTGAACAAGATAATGGATAGATTGAAGCTAGACACCGATGGATGACGGTCAAAATGTCAAAATGTTAGGCGTTGGCTCGTAAGATGTGAGGCTCTAAGTCCGATTTCTGCGTGCGCGATCGTGGATGAGCACTTTTCAGCAGTCCCATACTAAGATCAAACGGCTATCCAGTACTTCCAAGTTTTCAGTGATGATCTAACTTAGATCGAGACGTGATTTCGAAATTTATCAAAAATGCATAGAATATATAAGGCATCATTTTAACACAGTACACATTTTATTTAGGTTATTTAACAGAACTGGAAATTTCTTAACTAATTCCCGAGCATATGACACAGTTTTAGTTTAAAAATATTAGTATTGTTAAAATGACTATTCAGTCTAAAATAGAATTCGACACCTTTAAAGAATGAGTCCATATTGAGTTTTAGTTTTATTCCACGGAGTAGCGTTAATTGGAGTGACCGTCATCTGATAACACTCTCTTCGCTCTCAACTAGATTGTTTAGACCAGTTATGACCATCCAATGAAATGATATGATGGCTTTCTAAAAACAGATCAATTTGGACTAATTTACTACTACGTTTATATGTTTATGGAAATTATTCTTAAATGTAGATGGTCTTAACCAAAATACACCGTGGCTCTCTAGAACTACTAGGTACCGTTTTTCCAAACTGGCGTTTGTTGTTATAAATTTGCTCAATTAAAACATGTTTTAATTAGCTTATTATGTCGGTCAGTTCACTTTATTTGCGCGCCCATAGAAAATGTTTCCAACCTATTATAAATCCAATTACTTAAAAAACGTTGAAGTATCACTACAGTGGGTCAAATATCTTTGTCCTCTCTGTTATATGAAATAACAATGAGAGATCGCAATAAAATCAATACATCGAATATATTTAGTGATGCAAAGAGGCGTGATAGGAGCAAAACTGAATTTAAAAATGAACAGATGAATATGAATGGTAGCTAATTACTGCTCAAAGTTCAGTTCGTACATATTTCAGAAATATTTAAAATTGTATTGAGATTTTGCATATTTTATGCTGATAATTATGTGATTTTAATCAGGTTTTCTAATCACCAGCATTTCATAACTTAGTGTCATTTCACGAAATAAATGATTTCAAACAACATAATAATAGAAGGGGTTTTGTGGATATTATAGTAATTTTAATAGTTGAGATCATGAGTCAATTGAAACCAAACCATCATGTAAAACCTGAAAGAACTATAATATCCACTAAAATCCCTTCTGACACTAATCAGCATATACTCACTAGTGACTGGCTTCAAGAGGTATTTTCTGGAGTTCTAGTGAGAAACGGTGGAGTTCAACTGGGTCTGTTGTGAGATAGTAACTCACTGAAGACAATGGTGGATGTGTTGCTCAATTTCATGGATTAGTTAAAGTTAGACATTAACACCGTCGGATGCTGGCTCAGTGTTCTGGAGGTTACGCATTCGCAAGCGAGATCAATATGTCCTGTGTTCAAATCTCGCGAGGCGGAATCGTCGTATACTAGGACGAAACGGCCGTCCATTGCTTGCAGGTTTTTCATGGTGGTCTAACTTCAATTGATTAATGATCTCAACTTTTAAAATTATATAATAAAAGACAAAACAAATACAATGTTGAGTAGTTCATATTTGGAAAAATTGAAGTTGGATTATCTGGATTAATCCAACATTGTTTTTTTTAATTTAAATAACATCAAAATAACAAATTTATATACAATTTATTGAACATATTGAAAAGAATATTCATTCTACTCATCAAAAACAATTGAACACACGAATTATAAGAAAATAGAAAAGAGGAAAAGAGAGAGAGAATAAAAAAGAAACAGAATCTTGTTTGTTGTCTTCAGTTAGTCCTTTATCTAGATATAAAACAGTGGACAAATCAATTCATATCTCATTAAAATAGAAACTATACCAAGTATATGTTATACTCACCAAAAAAATACACACAAACACGTAAAATAAAATGTTTTCGTAATAAAAACAAATTTTTCTCATATTTGATTGATGTTGTCCCCCTTATTTATTTTTTTGTTCTTATTTCTAGATACAAAAAGAACTGAATATTTTCAACTTATCAATCAAAAAATTAACGATGGTATGTTTTATGTAATTATCTTTGATATATATATATATATATATATATATATATATATATATATATATGAGTTTTGAAGCTGTGTTCGTTATATACGCAGTTTTTGTATTTGGCATTGTCAGTAACGCTTTTGAGATATTGATCGACGTTTTATTCATTTACTCGTTTCAGTTGTCAGTACCACCACCGACAACAATAATATTAATACTAATTGCAGAGTTAAACCTTTCTTGAGTAGTATGATAAATTTGATATGAAAAAATAGTGATTTGGATGATCTAGTATTCTATGTTTGTAATTATCTACTTAATCCTCTTATTTTATAAATAAGATTTTAATTTCTATTTAATTTAAGCAGTTAAGATTATGTAGAGTGGTTTCATCAATTGTCTTATTTATCATTTATATAAATTATAATAAGAAAATAAAACTATTTTTTCTGTTTTAATATCATATCGATAATTATTGCGTAATTTCATCAATTTGTAATAGTTTGATCTAGATTTGATTCACCAGGAGTCAAATTATGAATTATTTCTCTGTTGCAAGCTTTGTAGTTGTCTGTTTTTATTATTAAAAATTTTGAAGAATAGGGTAAGCATTATTATGAGTCAGTAAATGTGAGAAAGAATAATTCATCATTAAGGGATGCTAAAAATTACATCAGATAAGTTAATACTCGCTTACTAAATGAAAGATTGATTCATTTACTAGCTAAACTTACTCAAATAGATTATAAATTATTTTCTATTAACTATTTCTACACTATCTTATTTACTGCAATTACTCTGAAGACCTGAATGAATAGGTTTCATTGTTAAAGACAGAATTGAGTTCTAAGCAAAGATGGATAGTGGCTAGCAGTGAAATCCAGGACACGCGTTTCATCCTATTTACTTATAATGATTATGAATTAAGATAGTATTGAGGCGATACGCATAGTATGTACATAAGCCAATAAGTGATTAATCAATTGCAGTCCTAAACATTAATGAAAAGATTCAAATAAACAATATCAAATGAATTTAGAATTGAGTTCTGTTAAATTACCACAAAAATGATTCTCTAATCTCATTGATTTTCATTGTATTCTATTTCATCAGATTATAGTGAATGAAGTGATTTTTGTATATACATACTTAGCTAACTAAATAAGGCAACAAATTTTGAAACATTACATAGATTTCCTAATGATTAATTCAAGAGGACTTGATCTAATCTGATTTAGGATTTTAATTTCAATAACACTCATACAATATAATTATGTTCAATTTACTAGTTCACAATATTTCCTTATATATATATATATATATATATATATATATATATATATATATATATATATATGTTAGTTCCAATTTCTATACTAATACAATCAGATATATTTGATACAATATTATAATATCATATTTTCATCATTAGTGGGTGGTTAAATCAAATAATGATCTAAATGATTTAGATAATTGAGTGTATAGAAATTAATCAAAATTAATTTTTTTTGTTTCAAGCAAAGTTGGATAGTGGCTAGCAGTGGAATCCAGGACGCGCGTTTCGTCCTATTTGGGACTCGTCAGCTGGATGTACCTGCATCCCAGAGTTGATGTTCACCCCAGGACTCGAACCTAGTACCGTTTGATTCAAACGCCATCGCGTTCTTTACTTAGTTCCTGAGTCCTGATAGCCAAATGCATGTGCAATGTGGTGAAGTTTAAATTCACTTGGTGTTCTTATACTTGTATCCAAATGACAGATCCCAAAAGTACTAAACGCGCGTCTTGGATTTCACTGCTAGCCACTATCCATCTTTGCTTAAAATGCTTGTGACTTAAGGCTATATCGAGGCAATCAGCACAGGATGCACATATGCCAATATGGTACTGATCAATTGCAGTCGTAAATAACAATGGAAAGATACAAGTAAAACAACACCAAGTGAATTTCATTTTTTGTTTGTTAAGTGAGGAAAAGGAATCGATCTGAATACAAAAATGTCATGTATTTGAGAATTAATTTTTTTAACAAGATATTCCAATGTATACAAATCGATTCATTTATATTTAATAACTAATGAATGTAATTTAATATGCAGTAAATATTAGAAATATAAAAGGGACAGAGTTAAAATTATATGAAATCAAAAAGACTTTTACTCTTTTCCCCTAGATCAAAATAGATTACTGATTACTAGGGCGGATCTATATCTGGAACATATAATTTTTGTTCTATATGGAGGGTTGAAAAAGGCTCATATAAATCTAAAAGTGATAGTTTTTATAAAAAAGCTTTACAAGTAATTGTAAATTTAAACTTAAGCTCCTTAGAAAAAATGTCGACTTGAGTTTCATATGTCAAACCACCTCAAATCAAACATGGTATACTTCATTTTTTCAGATTGATGTTTACTACTCAGGGATTAGTCAGTGTGAGTTTAAATCCTATCTAAGGTATCGGTAAATTCAAGAATTGGGATATATCATGATGAAATTTACTAACTAGTACAAAATCTAATGGAAACTAATTATATTATTTGTTTCCAGCCACATAAAATTCAAAATCCTCATAGGTACAACCTATAATGTGAAGGAAAAGTAAACGGTTCACTTATTGACAAAACCTCTATAAACAATCTCTCATAAACTTGGAAAACTGAAATCAAATTCTCTACACTGAGTCTTTATCTCCTCTATTTATCTACTAATGGATTCTAAATTATCAGTGTAGAAGTCTGGAGGGGTTGTCACTAATGACCGATTTCAGGAGGTAATCGTACAATTCTTATGAGAAGTCATGATCTATGTAGTTCAACTATGTAGAGGATATTTAGGTTACTGACTGGAAACAATAGAAGATGGCCATAAAGTATCGCATATTAACTGAAGTTAGACTTACAAACTACTGGATCCTGGCATGGTAGTCTAAAATTTAAGCGTCTGTGCTAGAGATCGAAGGTTCTGAGTTTGATCTCCAGTGACGAGGATATGGAAGTACATTACCGTGGCAGAGACAACTTTACAGTGTCTGCTGGTGTTCACCGGTTATCTAGTTTAGATTAGTTCATAATATCAACAATATTCTGAATCGTTTATCGATTCCTAATCTTCAATGAATAATATGTCAAAATAAAATCTGTCCAAACACTTATTTTTATAAATATTGTTATTCTTTTTCTAGCTCCAGCTCCACCAGCGTTTCTTATAGAAGAATGCATTTCAGAGCGTAATGTCATTACTCTTGTGTGGCAACCCACATCTTCTATTCCTATTGATCGTTACACACTTGAATTGGATGATGGAGCAGGTGGAACTTTCAGGGTTAGTTTATAGTATATCGTTTTTTCCAGAAATTACTTTCATTTTTTAATGTATTATTCCTTTCGGTGGTAAACAAATAACTATTTAAGTTCTACATAGTTAGGTCACCCAAAACAAGTACTTGCAATCTGTTGAATTGGGTTTCTTTTAAGTTTCTCCTAATATTAATCATTTTTGTATTTCTAACGTCCCATTTAATAATAACAATCATAAAACAAAAATGACGCCTTTTATGTAAATTCATTTTTAAATAAAACCCTTATGACCACTAGATCACATGACAAACTCTAGCTAAAATGTTGGTTGCTTAAATATCACTCGATGATTCATCCTCCTCCCCGTGTATATATGTACTTAAATACTATTATTAGTCCTTGCTTCGTCTTGCTGTGCTTTTATGCGATTTGGCTATACATTTGCGTATGTAATTGCTCGTATATACCTATTCGCCTCCCCGATTCAAATTCGCTCGATGTGCTTATAACTTTGTGATCTGTGCTATCCGCTAATAAACTGTAGTCGTCTCTTCTCATTGCCTTCTGATTTTAAATACTGTTGAGATTTATATTATAACGGTCATCAAGGTGATTGTTTAACGAAGAAAAACCACTTCAATATCAAAAGCAATAGCTTTCTTATCACCATAATGGTATTTGTTTTATTAACTACTTTATCCAGAGACTACAAATTGTCTTCGGATTTACATTCACTTAGAAGCATTTTTACATAATAGTATTCAAATACTTATTTGTATTTTGAAAAGGAACTGTATAAATTAAGATTTTCTAATAACGAATTTCACAAACTACCTATTTAGATTGATTTAAATTGCAAGTCAATTTTGCCTTAAACTTGACTTAATTTACAAAACAAGTGAACCGCTTAAAGTGTACACTAATGACTGAATACACAGCCATATTCAAAATTTTCAGGCCTCATCACAATCATGAATTATATTTATAGCTAGTTAGACTAATAATTTTCTTATTGGTGTTTTATGTAATATTTAGATTAAATCGAATTTTACACTTTTGAAAGATTATAAAGATTATGAACTGAAGAAAATGTAGTATATATTACAATGATGCACCCAACAGTTTTATTTTAATAGACTGTTTATTAATCAACATTTCTGATATATGTAGATACAGCCAAACTAATATGTTGCTTTTAATGATTAAACATTTCCGTTATCAGGTATCATTACCAAGGTTTGACTTGAGATTTATCTTCATTTCTTCTATGTGATAACGGCAATAATAAATTAATATATTTGTAATTACCCAATGAGTAGAAAAATTAGATTTTCTGATGTTTTGTGACTCATTATAAGCCACTTCTTCAGACAATAAACAACCAAATAAAGATCGATCCAACTTGATTTGGTCATTTATTCTCTGAAGAAGTGTCTTATACAAAGTCACGAAACTTCAAAAAATCTAATTTTTCTACTCATTACGTTATTACAATTATATTAATTTATATATTACCATTATCACATAGAAAAAATGACGACAAACCACACCCTTAGAATATGAAGATTTATGTTAATTTTTTTAACAATAATTTTAATATATCTTTTTTTACAAGTTTAAAACTGCTTCCTATGTTGTCATATCTGTCTATGTTATCACATTCATGAAGAACTAACTGAAAACAATGTTGTCCAAATCCTTATGTATATACAGTATAATGGTGGAAGGAGTTTAGTATTTGACTTATGTTTATAAGTTTACAGAACATCATTACAAATTACTTCAGAAAAGAAAATGAATTAAAATGCTGTGAAAATGTGAACAAGTTGCACATTTGAATAAATGTCAAATTTATTAAAATCATGAATAAAAAGTAGGTATTAATAAACTTGAACAGATCTGTAGGACAATTCTTATCCTTAATTCATTACGTTAACCATTATTTAGAAAAATTTCCGTCATTTACGGACCAGTGCTTAAGCCATTCAATTTTCACATCTATTCATATTTAACACATGATTTTTTTCTTATCATTTTTAGAAAGGGACAGATATAACCTAAGATTATGAAATATTGGTGATTAAAAAATATTCAGTAAGGTCCTTGAACGGCATCAGTATTTAAATTCTTTAGTCCTACAAAATTCAGAGATCGTTTGTTATGTATATAACACTGATCGGAAAGTATGTATAATATAGTTAGAAATTAAGGAAATTGGAATCTTCTATATACAATTTACTTGTAAAAAAAAACGTTATAAGTAAGTTATTACATAAGCTATACTTGTCCTCAGCTTAGATTTACAGATGAAACCACTAACCAAATGAACGTATGTATGTCCAGCTTGTAGGATCTTTTCATTCTAGACGTCTAACATATTAATTTATATACAAAAGAACAGCATTTCCCTATTATTACAACAACATTACTTGATTAAAAATTTGAATAACTATTTTTCATAATAACATATTAATTTTAATGTAAAATGATATTAAAATTATTTGAATTTATATAATAGAAACAATCTTATCTTACTATTAAAAGTCAACAAAAAGGGGAAGCTAAGAAAGATGGTTTTTTTGAGAAAAGGAAGAGGTTTACGTTTGATTAGTTTGTTAAACTGATAATATTTATATTTCTGTTGATTGACAGAAACAAGTAAATCAAGCGTGTAGCTTCGATAAGTCTAATAAATCAAAACAAATTTTTCACGTTAACTAACGAGTCAATGTTGTTTATATTATCCAGACATTAGGGATATTTTTTAATGAAAAATAGTTTTGGGCCAATAATGTTAATAGGAAAACTGTGTCTAGTTTGTTATATAATATTTAAGGTCGATGAATTCTATAAGAACCATTATATCATCATGACATTACATTCTAGAATTATTTACTTTAGATGTTGAATATCATTTTAGTGGACTATTTCATGGGTATGAGTAAAAATTTATTCTTAATAAATATTGTCAAACATGAAAGTAGATCTACAGATATACTTGACTAGTCTTTTGAGATATGCAGTTAAGTCTGGAGAATTTACGGTTAGTGATGTTACTTATAATCCATGTAGATGGTAAATTGTATATTATATTAAGTTTACTTCATCAGTTCAGTTAGTCATTCTTCTCAAGGTTCATGACAATGTAAATTACTGTCGATTTTCAAATTGAGATGAAAAATTTAAATGAAACAAGAATATTATATGCTGTATAGACTATAAGTTTGTTGTATTTCTCTACTTTTGCCTATGCTATATATAGGCTGATAAGTTTAATCAGTTTAAAATATTGACATCCTAGAAACGGTAGGGAACTAAATTGTCATGTATGAATAATTGATCATTTTAGAAGGAAAATTTATGATTGGGTTTAAAATTAAAGCTGTGAATGATTTTGTTGAGCATACCTTATAAGTAGCTCACAATAAATTTATAAAGTGTCGTTCATTGTCTAGCATGTAGGATTTGAAAATTTGTATAATAAAACGTGTAAATGCCCATTTTCAACACATTTTAATTCTATTGGGATCACAAATTTATCTAAATCAGACAATAATTCACAACTTATAAGTAGTGAACGGCCATTTTGTCTTATCATAGAACTCTTCAGCAGTATGCATTCATATCCTTATAACCAGAAATTAAATCTAGAACTTTCGATGTTGCTAGAGAACGCTTAACAACTGGACAACAGGGTTGAGACTAAACGGTGCACAATCTAACTTAAATCAATCTGTGATACGAACATGTGATTTTGTCAGATTATTTGACTGTCTTCGTTGATTCTTAGTGGATCTTCAACTGATATCACGCCGTGGTTAAGATTACTTTTAAATGAATACTTTTAATGACTTTCACAAAATCAACTGTATAAAGATGTGAGATTTTTTATACTGATTCTGTGAACAGTTCAACCTTTAGCCTTTATACTCTCAGGTGGTTTGGATACATACTAAATAAATATGAACAGTACGAACAGATAGCTTTCATAATATTTGATGATGACGCAATAAAATTTGGAATGTTAAAATATGGTAGCTTCTCGTAATTCTTACAGTCTTTACCGCTTTCAATTAAACGTCTGCCTCACGTAAAATGTAATTCTTCTGTTAATGCGTTATCTTTATAAATTGCGTCAAATGTTCCATAAATTTCATGAACATTTTGACTGAGTTTGATCAATAACTTCAGTAACTCAGTTTCTGTATTTATTTAATAAGCTATGCATATTATCGATTATCAGTATCTTGGTTTAAAATACCAAAGTACGGTTAGTATTTAAAATCTTATTGTTACCATGCATACACCCTCAATATTTTTAAAATTTGATAAACCTAACCGATACCACATCTTACTTAAGCTGCTTATAAAACTCACTGAGAATATAGTAAATGAAGAAATTAAACTTTTTATGATAACCACCAACTTACTATATGAAATAAACTGACAAACTAATCTAATAAACAAAATGGGTTACAAAGTTTTTTTATCAGTTACATTTATGATAGTTTTATTCAATGTTACTGATGAATTTCAGTTGTTATCAGAGAGTTTTGTGGAGATTTAAGCAATTTAATAGTTGAATTTATGACTCAGTTGCAACTAGGCCACCATGGAAAACCTGGAAGTACTGCTTTTTTTGACGGCCGTTTCGTCACTGTGAGACTTTTCAGAAGTGCACATCCAGGTGCTTCGAGGTTTTCTATGGTGGTCTAGCTTCAAATGACCCATGAATTCAACTATTAAATTTTATAGATTATTTTAGACCTAATGATTAAGTTTATGTTTATGGATTCCTGTGACCAAGATCGTATGGCAAATATAAAATCTTGACGAATAGGTTAAGTTGAATGATATTTCAGTCAGTCAGTCAACTACAACGTAGGAGCAGAAACATATATGCATCGGTCCAAGTTGCCAAACCTCATCTGCACATCAGGATGAATAACAAATTCATAGTAGTCTCTTCAACGGTCGTAATGCATAGAAGAAAGGTTTCGTATAAGGATATGGTACAGGAAGAAAGAATTAGTCTGTAAAAAGGAAGATATAAGTCCATTTTATTCTCATGGTTTAAGGAGAGATAGAGAGTGTATACACCGACGCCATTGTGATCTATTCTGAACCATGTCGCATAGTCTCTAATCATTGGTTACGATAGTCACGTGGACCCCAACCAAGTAGTCTGCATCTACCAACATGGCTCAGACTAGTAGTGACTTCAATGACTGGTATCACGTTTTTATTTGGCCGCCCCTAACTTTCTTCCAACCGTCTCGAAAACTAGTCAGCATTGCACGTTGTGGTAATTGGTGTTCAGGCATACGCAACACGTGGCCCAATCATTTTAGTCGATGAAGATTTACATCCTCATGAACTGATTTGTCATCATTCCCTAATACATCACGTCTAACCTCGCTCTTACTTAACCAGTGGTAAATAACTTCAGAAGTTATCGTCATTTTAACTTTGTCACTCCTGTCAATTACTATTTTCGTAAGCATTCTAATAAAAATCTAGGTTTGCCACCGCATTTTAAAGTATTGATGTCATGTTGGTTAACCACGATCACTGAAATCAATAAAAAAATTTAAATAACTAAAACAGGTGGGTTAAAATTTACCCCATCGCTCAAACCAGTGGCTGTTTGAACTCAGTAGCTAAGTAGATAACGTGTTGGGTGTTTGGAACAGAAGATACTTCGTCTGAAACCTGGTGCAAACATCGACACTGAAGTGCAGGTACATCCGGCTAATGACTCTCAAATGGAAGGTAATATAGACTTCACTGCTTTCCATAATAAAATCTGATTGAAATGCTTGCGGCCTAATATTAACATCGGTTCATTCTGCATAGAATACTCATATGCTTAAAGATACTGATCAACTGCACTCAATAACATCAACAAGAAATAATACGAATGAAAATATCATGTATTCATTACATTTTTATAAGGATAATTAAATAACGTGTTTTAAACGTCTTTTTACCTTCAGATATACTTATCACCTAACTTATGAATTAAATTAAGTAATCATTAGAGGAATATAAAAGGATTCTAAAAAAACCCAAGCGAATATATCATAAAACTCAATCTAATAATATGAACATGAGGGGAAAGTAAGGTTCGAATATTTTTTTAAAAATTATCATAACAATAGTTATTATCGTAAGGATAAAAATCCAATTTTGTTAATTTATTGATATCTGCAATTTATGCTAATATTTCTTATTCTTTTGTATGTGAATATGTATCTTTAGAAATATGTACACGTATTCATAGATGTATTATGTATTTTACGCCCACGGGCAAAGTTAGCTATTTTATAGTAAACATAGAATAATCTTTTTTCTCAATTGTGTGAATAATCCCACTCCCCCCTTTTTAAAAAAATTGATCATTTACTATGTCAGAAGGGTTTTTGTGGATATTATAGTAATTTTAATAGTTGAGACCATGAGTCAATTGAAACTAGAGCACCATGCAAAACCTGGAAGCAATGGATGGCCGTTTCGTCCTCCACAGCAGTGCGCATTCATGATCCCATGTCGTGAGATTCGAACACAGGACCTACTATAATATACACAAAACCCCTACTGATGTCAATCAACATATGCTCGCTAGTGACTGGCTTCAAGAGGTATTTCATGGAGTTCTAGTGAGAAACAGTGGACAGTGGAGTTCAACTGGGTCTGATGTGAGATAGTAATTCACTGAAGACAATGGTGAATGTGTTGCTCAGTTTCGTGAATTGGTCGGCTCAGTGTTCCGGAGGTTAAGCGTACGCGCTCGAGAATGATATGTTCTGTGTTCGAATTTCGTGAGGTTGAGTCATGAATGCGCACTGCTGAGGAGTCCCACGATAGAGCGAAACGGCCGTTCAGTGCTTCCACGTTTTCTATGGTGGTCTATCTTCAGTCGACTCGCTATCTCAACCATTGACATTTACGTGTTTAATAACAATCGAATTTCTTGATAATTGTTATCACCTCAAAAAAACTATTGAGAAGGATTTGGAAAGTAAAAGCGAATAATTCATTTATACTCTCATCAAAATGTTATCACTTTGTTTTCAACGATCTTTTAGTAACAGATCATTGGAATAACTTATATGATTACATTTATTTGATATCAGAATTATGTAAAATAATCGGCTCTTAAAGCACAATAATCATAACTAAAAAGAACATTGTAATTTGAAGTATTTCACAAGATAATTATCGTAAATTATATTTTTCTCAGTTAATACTTAAATAAGAAGTACGTGATAGATGGGCAATTGAAGTAAATTAAGTGGTTTAGTTTTTCGCAAATTTTGTTTTACTAAAAGTATGAATTTTTTAACAATACGTTTGTTTTATATATCCATTGTCTAAATGTCATTTCTTTAGACTTTACAGTTACCAATGAATTATTAAAATAATATGTATTTGATGTTTCATTGAATTACTCGAACTGCAAAGAATATTTAGTCTTCAACCGAATTAACGGATAAGTGATTAAAAGTAAAAAGTTAGATAATAAACACTTCAAGCAAGCTATACAAAATAGTTTTTACTTGCTTTACAAACATCTAATAAAACCATATTATTCTGAACAACTGTTTGACTTTATTTTCACTAGTTTAACTGTTTTGAATTTTGAGGATATATTTAGCCAGTGAAATGTGAGTAATGATTATGTAGATGACATAAGTCAAATTCTTTATAATTTGTAACCATCTGACTAAGTAAACGACAAAGCGTTCCTAATGATTTCTAACTTTGTTTCATACTGATATATTAGAACCTTGAAATTCTTGACCAGTCATTGAATTTAGTTATATAACTCACTAATCATTAATTGAAATTCAAGGAAACCGATTTTCGTATTTATTTCTGAATTAACGAACCATTAAATAATATGATTACAAAATCATATATATAATTACTACAATTATTTTTAACGAGATTTTCATAATTTACATATTTTTTTAAAATTACTTTTATTCATATTTAGAAAGTTTATCGGGGTGTTGAAACAATGTGCACTGTCGAAGGTTTACACTTTCGTTCCGTCTATCGTGCACGCGTTAAAGCGCACAATCAAGCTGGTGAAAGTCAGTACAGTGAACGAATTTGTCTACAGACATCAGATTGTGAGTTGATAAACAATGTAACCCGTGAATTTTTTTCAGTGCTTAATAAGTAATTCAAGTGAAATATTAAAAAAATAAATTCGACTAACAAATATTTTAGACAGTTGAATGAATCTGATACACAGTTCTCTTTAATAACAGGAACAATTTGTTATGCATACATGCATACTTACCCCTGTTATCCTTCCTCGAGGAGAATAGGTCACTCACCAGCACTCTCCATCCGACCCTGTCCTAGGTAATCCTCTCCAGTTGCAATTCACATGTTCATGTCTGCTTCCGATTCTCGACGTAGTGTGTTCTTTGACGTTCCTCTTTCTCGAATTCCTTCAGGAATTATTTTATTTTGTTAAATTCTCATTTATGAGTCGACTTAACCTAGACCACAAATGAAAACCTGGAAGCACTGAACGTTCGTTCCGTCCTAGTATGGAACTCTTTAACAGTACGCATTCACAAGCTCACAATCGAGACTCGAACACAGAACCTTCGGTATCGTACACAAACGCTCAACCTCTAGATAACTAAGCCGGCTCAACTCATGAATTCAACGTTTAATTACTAAAATCCCCACTAACCCCCATTCCAATAAATTTTCATTATTAGCTTACATTTGGTTGTATTTCAAACCTAAAATACACAAAACCATGTTCAAGATACCTGAAGAAATCAATTTGTTTCGAAGTTAACGTAACCATAATTTAACATGAGAAATTAAAAATTTAGATAAACATGAAGAAACTGAATATAAATACTTCAAATATATTTTAAAAATAAAATAAAATTCTGAAATATTTAATAATACGATAGGAATAAAATGCTACTTGTGTAACGTAAAAACCACATCAGTGATAAGATAGGAATCTAAATCAAAGTAAGTAAATTTCAGTTAGTTAAAAGTACACAAATTGAGTGAAATACAACAAAGTTGAAAAAAAGGTGCGATAAAATAGTTTAACGAGAACAAAAAGAATCTAAAGAATTATAATGTGATAAAATAAAGTGTATATTATCAAGGCAAACACTGATTACTATCTTTTTGAACTCAAAAATGAGGTTTCTCTTGATTGATCACAATAGTTTCAAAAAACTTCAAAAGTTTCAGTAATGTTAACCTAATGTTCTATATCCAAAAAAGACATCTGAAAATTCCTCCATTGATAGTTTTCATTTTGTTTGATAAAAGACTTCTTGAAAAAGGAAGTTAATATATTTTTATATGTTTTATTATTTTTCTACATTTAAGTAGTACCAAGCTAGTTGATATATAATAATAAATATTTACCCATAGTATGGAAATAACTTAATTTACTATGTAGTTTTCTAGTAGGTTTCATCATCAATATCAATAGATTAGAGATATTTTTTTCATGTATTTAACTTCACAATAATTCCAACCATGAATCAACTATGAAGAAAGTTTTGATAAAAAGAAGTTCATTAAAACAGTTATTTAATAATAGAAATGAGTAACAGCAATTTTTCAAATTTTCACCATCTGAAATTAATAGTTCAGAAGGTATACAATTGTATTCCATATTTACATTTCTTCATATGCTTTTAAACAGATTCTTTACAATCAGGGTGGAACTATTTCGGCATCAAAAATACAAACACATACAGCACTCATAGACATTATCTATTAACCTTGCAGGATGCAACTATTGTTGTGTATGATTTTGTCACCATATAGTAACTGGTGTCATTTAAGAAACAGCAATAACTGCCCCCATAGATATCACCAGCCATCTAAACTTAAATAAAGTCTATCTGATTTGATTAAAAGTTTAATCAGCTTAAAAATATTGTCTGACAAAAAATTATTTTCAGAAGGGATTGTGTGGAGATTTTAGAAATTTCACTGGTTGAAATCATGAATCCATTGAAGCTAGACCACCATGGAAAACCTGGAAGCACTGGACGGCCGTTTCGTCCTAGTATGGGACTCCTCAGCAGTGCGCATCCACGATCCCGCTCCTCGCGAGATTCGAACCCAGGACCTATCAGTCTCGCGCCAGGCGCTTAACCAGTGGAGTTCAACCAGGTCTGTTGTGAGATATCAGCTCACTGAAGACAATGGTGTACGGTGGCGCAACTTCGTGGATTGGTTGAAGTTAGACATTAACACCGTTGGATGCCGGCTCAGTGGTCTAGTTGGTTTAGCGCCTGGCGCGAGACTGGTAGGTCCTGGGTTTGAATCTCACGGGGCAATATCGTAGATGCGCACTAATGAGGAGTCCCACAACAGAACGAAACGACTATGCAGTGCTTCCAGGTTTTTCATGGTAGTCTAGCTTCAATTGACTCATGAACTCAACTATTAATTTATTCATATATATTGGAAATAAAGAACTATTTAACGTTGAGTCCACATTTATATATTTATTTATTCAAAAATTTTAGCATTCTTGTCTCATGTTTTATTGTAGACATAAAATGTTCAATAAAGATTATAGGATAACAAAGCATTATTCTAAGACAGTTTTACAATTTGTAATTTCAAATGAGGTATAGATATGCTTTATAATGAATTTATAATTAGAAAATGATTAAACAGTTCATATAGAAACAATTATTCACTGAAGAATTCTTTATTTATAGAACTCTAAAAAACAAAAAAGTGAAATTAATTTCACTTCAATATACAAGATTTGATCTATATTCATATTATCCTATCACTATAGACTAAGTTACTAGATAATTAAGAATTAAATCCATCTCAATTTTAATTTATATTTAAATTGCATAATAAACGATAAAAATTTTAATTCAAACATAAAAGACAAAATACAAAAGAGAGCTTACTTCATTCAAACACTCGTTCTATAGTTAAAAATCTATTTAACTGGTAAATATTTTTAAATCTTTTTCTTTTCTTTTTACAACGAAAACAAACGAAAAGAAAAGAACACTTTCAAACTAGAATGGTAATTTTTATAATCAACTCAAAACTCTAAAGAAATATATGTATATGTATATAAGTTCCATTCTAACTGAATTCGTTTCATTCTACCGTTTTTTATACAGACAGACGTAAACACTTAAATGAATAGTTGAAAGATATTTTTTTCTTTTCTTTTATTGCTTTGAAGTTAATTCATTTAAAATACTTCAATTTGAATGTGATATTTATTTCGTTGATTACAAAATAAAATTGTATATCTTTTTTAGAAAAAAATAAATACCATTTATAATATTTTTCAAGGTATATGTATGTTTATCTTTGAATTGATTTAAACAAATAATAACAATGAAAAAGAAAGAGATGAAAATACAAGCATTGTATTTTCATATGTCGATCGAAGCTAGATCATCATTGAAAATCTGGAAGCATTGGACGATCGTTTCGTCCTAGTATAGAACACCACCTTTAATTGTTATAAACAAATGATATCATTAAAAAAGAGAGAGATTAAAATACAACAATACCAAACAACTCTTTATTAGTACGAATAAAAAAGAAATAGAAGAAGGGGTTTTCTGGATAGTATAGTAATGTCAATTGAAGACAGACCATGCTAGAATGATAAATCTTGGGTTAGAATCTTGCCAGACGGAATCGTGAATGCGCATTGTTGAGGATTCCCATACTAAAACGAAACGACCGTCCAGTGCTTCCAGGTTTTCCAGAGTGGTCTAGCTTCAATCGGCTCATGAATTCAACTACGAAATTACTATAATATCCACAAAAACCCCTTCTCATACTAATCAGCATAAACTCACAAGTGACTGGCTTCAAGAGGTATCTCATGGAGTTCTAGTGAGAAACAGTGGACAGTGGAGTTCACCTGGGTCTGTTGTGAGATAGTAACTCACTGAAGACAATGGTGGATGTGTTGCTCAGTTTCGTGAATTGGTCGGCTCAGTGTTCTTGAGGCTAAAAGTACGCGAGCGAGAATGATATGTCCTGCGTTCGAATTTCGTGAGGTTGAGTCGTGAATGCGCACTGCTGAGGCGTCCCACGATAGGACGAAACGGCCGTTCAGTGCTTCCAGGTTTTCTATGGTGGTCTATCTTCAGTCGACTCACGATCTCAACTATTGAAAAAAAGAAATAATTTTATTTCATAATAACTTCTATTTAAGTGTTTACAAAAAATAAAACCCGTTCACTTGATTATAACAATAAATTATTATAGATTTAAGATGTAAATTATAATGAATACTGTAGAATTATTTTTAAAAATTTACTTAACAACATAGGAATCATATGTGTTTAATAAATTACGAAAATTCGATTGAGAATTCATAATCAATAAAGTTCAATTATAACACAATTGAGATAGTTATTATCAATGATATTGAATGATAGTCTCAATATATCATGAATAAACTTAGTAAGATTAACTTTTCTTATTTGATCTAACGATGTAAGCTTTAATAAGCATATGATCAGATCCAAAAATTTTCCGATCAATATTTTACAGGATGATAAGTAGTAAATGATAAAAAACCTCAAACCAGAGTTCTGTTGTTCAGTTTATAATGTTGGTTACTATATTAAGCACATACAATTTATTCTATCTTCTGACAGGCCAATTTATTCATTTTTCTTGAGTCACGTTTTGATCCTATTAATTATTCACTTATTAATCTTGACTTTTTATATGAGCGTGTGTACACTTCTCATCCTAATCATCACATGTCTGTAATCTATTATTATCTGGTTATGATATCGATCGACGCTTGACTAAATGGAGTTGGCTCACACGCCTTCTACACCGAGCATCATTTCGTTTCACTTCGTATCTTTGATCGTTTGCCTGGATACGTATTGAAAATCCTTTCTCGTATTTGACTTATTTTAATTGCATTATTCACTAACGCAGATTAAGTCGATAATTATATACAAGGATAACCAAGATATAAATTTCGACATGAATACATGGAAAGCAATCGGAAACGACCAAACTAGAGTCAAATATAAGGTTACAAAAAGTTTTCAGTTTTAAATAGTTTTCCAAATGACAATAGTTTGGAAAAACAACTTTTCACAGTTTATTATATTTGTTAAAATGTCATTTCTTCAATGATATGAATAATATGTTCTGTAATATTTAAAATGATAATTATTTAGGGAATGTTATTTCCCCTTGTTAATAATTTATGATGTAACTTGCTTTCTTTGTAACTTCATACTTCAAAATATCTAAATAATATTATTTTACTTTTAACAAAAGTAAATGCTAAAACACTATTAGCTAATTGTATCAATCTATACGTTTGCAATAACAAATAAATATTTGAAAATCGATCAAATATGTGACCTAGTAACTAGTTTTTGTAGGACATGACACTTCATATCTTCTCATGTCAATGAAATAAATTTATATTATATTTCATCAATTAGAAATAGATGACCTCTACTCAGGTGAATTATATCCTAGATTTAATTGGTCAAATATATTGTATTTGGACATAGATTTTGACCTGCTCTTGGTGTCAATTAAATCTCTATCCGTACGTCTCATGGGTTCATTGGTGTCCATTTCTATATATCCGCGAATGAATTTTACATAGAAATGTGCATTGTAGTTAGTTAGAACAAACAATATAGCTAATAAATCATTTCGGTAGCCCGAATTCCCATTTGCAACCTGTTACCGATTTATAAAAGTATGCATTTTTTAAAAGCTCATTGAATACTGCTGAAATTGCATCGCTTAAGATATTCAGCGAACATTATTTTTTTCATTGTACTTAATTACTGTAGTGAAGAACACAGGTGAGGATAACCGATTATATTTAGCACAAAATTACAGAGTTACTTGATGAAATAGAAAAATTATACTCCAATACTTCATTTGCAAAATAATCATTAATTGTCTCAGACTTTATTGTTCCTGCATTTCCATACCAATTGCTTTCTGTTCGCGTTCTTTCCTCCTTGATCTTCTCAATCTTCTGCTGCCAGGCATTCTACTCCTGACTGCTGTTATACACTACTTATGTCGATATAAGTAGCACACACCACAATAATTTTAGAAATAATATGTACAAAAGAAGTAATCTAAAATAGGACTTTGTCGTAATATACTTATATATAAATCATCGTTGAAATACGATGACTTAAGTACACTTAAGTGAACTATTCTGGAAAATGTGGACAAGTTGAATTTAAATTTTGTCGCAAATGTAAACTGGAAAGCTTTCAGCGATCATAGTTTTCAACTTAATAATTGTGGATTATTTCACACGAGAATTGGATCTTTTAGCCACACAGTAAACCATGCATTCACTCACATCCATTCACAAATAAATGTTTGTGGTAAAAATATGATGCAATATGATGCATCTCGAGGCAAGAGCGGCCTGTAGATCTTCTAGGGTTACTGCCGGTCCCAATCCCAGTTAAAGAAAGAGGGTTGGACATGGTGTCGGTAACTCCATCCCTTGGAAAACAACTTTGCTGAAAAAACGCCAATCTGAATAAACAAATTGCCTAGTTGATATTTCAATTTTACTCCATTTTGAATACTACGTCATTGAACTAAGGGATTCTTGTTAAGCTAATCTCAGTATATAGCAAAACTGTACGAAGGAATTTGATAAAAGTCTAACTTTCCTAATGAAAATAATTATAACTTGAAGACATAATTGATTCATATAATATGAATATATGCATAAGTATTAGTTTAACGCAATAAATTCATCTGCCATCATCATCATCATAAAACATTAGAATACAAAATGAAGTTTATGATTTTATTGATAATCTATGAAAACCAACTAAAATTTGATTGGGTTCCTATAACTCCAATATTACCAACTATGTTGGTATCAATAAAAAAGTGCACTGTATAAGATAGAATAAATTCCTTTTTCTAAAATAAAATAGAAATAATTCACAATAAATATCATAATTTGTGATGATAATAACATAAATATCCTATTTTATGATAATCATATTTTTTATGTTAATTTATCTATCTTGTAGGAAATATAAATCCACTGCTAACAAGCTCTTTATTCATTTAGATTTAGTGTTTTATGACTTTTTAATACTTTCATCATGTAAGACTAATTCTATTCTTCATAGTTTTTAAAACATGAACTGATCTTAGAGGCACCATGATTAAAAGCCAGGAAGTATTAGAGAACTATTTCGTTCTAGTATAGGTTTTGTACTCAGTATGTGTTTACAACCTTACCACATAGAGTTGAATTCACAGTCCTTGGTCTAACACGTAAACATCCAATCCCGAAGTCACTGAAAAGTTTCATATTAGACTAAAACAACTTTCAGATTTTTAACAGTGGTCGAGTTATTTTATCAAAATATACCAACTTGTTTATTTATAATACTGATAATATGGATTCCTTAGAATAAAGTCACAATAGAACTGGGATAATTTTCATAGAAATTCATAATAAATATCAAGTATATTTTGTAAATATAAATACCAAGGGAATAAGTAAAAACAAAAAGAACACGATACCCGGTTCTTGACATTTTCTAGAATGCTCTATAAAAACATATGCCAAGAAAAGAGAAAGAAAAGCGAGAAACAATGCTGAATCAGTATGATAAAATGTCATGTAAATCTTTCATTTTCCAATTTTATAAACTTATTTGTTATTTTTATACATAACAGTATCATTAATTTATATATTTCGTCCTTTTTTTAAGAAAACTAAATACTTAACAATATAGGAAAAACACTTAAAAATGTGAATTTTTGTTTATGAAGTTATTATTATTATTAAATATTTGTCTTTAATTTAATGAAAATGATGTAGCTTGAATAGATCTAAAGGAACTCCGTCTATAACTCTCCTAGAAATATTGCCAGTCCCAAACCCGGGTATAGGAGGAGGGTTGGGCATGAGGTGGGAAACCCCATCCCGGAGGAAAAATCTTGATAAAAAAACTCCAACCAGATTAAACAAATTAAGAGAAAAAATGTGGTATGTTAGCGGTTTCAAAAATTGATGGCTGTTTGTGATTTGCACATTTTATCTTTTCACAGTTCCAAGTTTATATATATATATATATATATATATATATATATATACAATTCAACCTTAACGAGAACATTTTTGGGACATCCATTTTATGACGTCTTTAGCGAATTTGATAAGTATAGACAAAAAGTTCTAAGGAAGTTCTGAAATAGTTTTTTAATAGCAAATATATGGCGACAGTTAGTAGATAACTATCTAAATATGTTGTATTCTGGTTATCATTCAACAGCATAACGAGTCTACAGTTTGAAATCAAATATAGTACATTATGATGTTAATTCATATAAAATAACGGTTATGTTGCATTTTATTTGATAAAATCTCATCAATACAGAAGACGAAATGGTGTAATATTGGTTTGCATCAAGTTATCATAGGGAACTCAAAACCATAATACTGTATTACTCGTAAAACTTTTTTATTTTATCAATATACTTAACTGCTGTTTCTCCACCGAATTTTTATTTTCGGATCCATTTAAAATTAGTTTAATGTTTACATAAATCAGTTTTATATTTAACTTCTAAAAAAATATTTTTTTAGTTTTCTAAAAATTAACTATTTTGTTCTATATTTACTTCTTGTTATATTAGTTACTTGGTTTCATTTGGATATTCATACCTCTGTACCAGAAATTTTACTTACAAATGGAAATAGAACTGTTACTAGTCAATTATCTGAAGATAGAGTAATTCTTGGTTCAACTGGTTTATCAAGAGGTGTACATTATTGGGAATTTACTGTAGATCGTTGTGATCCTGGTGGACAACCTGCATTTGGTATAGCTAGATATGACTGTAATAAAGAAATTATGCTTGGTGAGTTATATAATTAACAAATTATTATTTTATAAGTCGATATTATGTATATGACCATGCCTATTAATAAAAATTAAGGTATTTAATTATTCTCTTCATTCCTAAAATAATATTTTTTGATTGAGATCATGAACCGATTAATGTTTGACCACCACTGAAAACCTAGAAGCACTGGACAGCCGTTTAGTTTATTGTGGGACTCCTCAGTAGTGCGCATTCACGATATCGCTCGCGGGATTTGAACCCAGGGCCTTCAATCTCTTGCGCGAACGCTTCACCTACTGGACCATTGAGCCGGCATACAATAGTGTTAACATTTAACCTCGATCGATCCAATCTAAATTAATAAGCATAAAAATGAATCAATTTAAAGGATCAGTCAAAAACTTTGTTGTAACTATTAGGAAAATGTAACAGCCAAATAAATAATGTCAACGTAAAAATGCAGATTATAAATTAAATATGGTTATTGTTTATTTTTTTACAAACTATATGTTTGAATGTAAATAGCTAAAAACAAATAAAGAAATGTAAAATTATAGAAGAAATTCTATTACACTAAATATCTCTTAGTAAATATTCCCATCTTCATCATAAGTGACTATTTCTCTATTCTTATTTCACCCTTACACAGTTTATCCGCTTTTTACTTATTCATTTATTTTTTATGTCAATTTCTCCTCAAGGCGTTTTTTTTTCTATACTTCTAATTATTCAAATTACGTGCAAATGAACTGAAAGGATACAAATTTGTTCATGTGTATACTTTATACATTCTATTTTGAACAACATAAATATTTATGAAATTTTTTTAGTTTTCTTGTTATTCTTTTTTCTGTGTTTGTAAGACAAACAAACAAACGCTATTGAATAATCTAGGAAAAAAAGAAAAAGAAATATGATGTGATATTATAGAAAAGTTTCCTCTAATTTTCATTTTAATTTATAGAATTGTTTATTTATCCGTAATAATTTTGTTCGTTTCTATGATCTGTTAAAAAAAATGATACAATAATAGACAATTCGCTGATGATATATTACGTAATATACAACGAAACATTTTGTAAATGACTATTATGAAAATAGCCTACAGAATATAAGTAAATAATTATTATTAATATGTGTAAATAAACAAATTACTGTCGATCTATTTAGAATGCACGGTTTACGATCAAATACAATGTTAAATGTTTATAAACCCGTAATTTATAGTTGTGTATATCTAATAATATTCAGTGTTTCAGGTATTTGAACAGATATTAAGTAATCATTTAGAATTTAAATTAATCTTCCTTGAATATGATACTTATCAATCAAGATGTTTGATTGAGATAAAATGAAGTATTAAGATACATTACCGTTTCAAGTTTTCATACTAAATAATACGTACCCACAGATTTTCTGGTATTCTATAGAGAAGATATATATTCGCATAAAAATATGTCGCATTCGACGAAGATTTGAATATGATACTAAAACAAATTTGCTCTCTCGTTGTAGAGAGATAATTTAAAAGATGACCATATTGGTTTGTTTAAATAATCCACGGCAATGATAAGCAACTGTATTTGTAGATAATTTTAAAAACGTCACATTTGTAATCACGAATCGATCAATAAATGAGCTGTTGAAAATTGAGTGGTCAGTTTTAGACTCTTTAGAAGTAAATTCTTGCAGAGCTACACACTCAGATTTGAATATCTCTCGGTCCACACAATAATTTAAGTCTGCTCAGTTAAAGTTCACTGGTTCAAACCTTGAAACTGATCCAATTCACTATTTACCGTTAATGTAATCCAGCAATATTGGCAACAACCTCATTACTTCTTATATTGAAGAACTTTTAAGACCACAAATTTTCATCGCAAACGTCAGGACAAGTTTTAAATATAGTCACAGTTAATTACACTAAGATAATTTGACATTTGTTTTGATGACATATCAGTCGTATGTATAAAACATGTTAAGTAAACCATAGACAATCCTTTCTAATTTTCTATCCCTTTCTCCTAGTTTTAAACTAAAAAAATTATGTAGTTATCGGTACCAAGGTTGAACTTGATTGTTTCGAATAAACTTAGCATTGGGTAAAGAGTTAATAACAAATATATTTTTGTCATATCCCAATGAGTAGAAAATTTGTATTTCGGACGTTTCGTGAATTAATGCAAGCTACTTCTTCAGAGCAAATTAACATAAGTTTGTAAAGTCCCATTAAATAGTACTATTTAAACTTATGTTAATTTGGAGTCGATTATTTATTTCTTCTGAAGAAACAGCTTGTATCAAGTCATGAAACAACAGAAATACAACTTTTCCACTCATCGAGATATAACAAAACTATATTTCAATAATAAAAAAAATAAGTCAATTGAAGCTAGATCAACATGAACAACATGGAAGCAATGAATGGCCGTTTCGCCCTATTGTGGAACTCCTCAGCAGTGCGCAATCATGACTCAACCTTACAAAATTCGAACACGGGATATATCAGTCTCGCGCCCAAACGCTTAACTTCCAGAACACTGAGCCAACCGACATTCAACGGTATCAATTTCTAACTTCAACCAATTCACAAAATTGAGCAACATATCCACCATTGTCTTCAGTGAGTTACTATCTCACATCAGACCCGGTTGAACTCCATTGTTCACTGTTTCTCACTAGAACTCTATGAAATACCTCTTGAAGCCAGTCACTTGTGAGTATATGCTGATTAGTATGAGAAGGAGCTTTGTGAATATTATAGTTCTTCCAGGTTTTCCGTAATGGTCTGGCTTCAATTGACTCATGATCTAAACTATTAAAATTAATATAATATCCACAAAATGTCCTTCTAAAATTTGATAGTTTATAATGTTAGTAATGTGGATATCATTCAATTGGACATCATTGTTTCATTCAGATACTATTAGATTAACTTATCATATAAAATGCATATCATTTTTCTATTCTTACAATAATGGTATTTTCACATTTTTTCTTCAAATTTCCTTCAAATTATTTTTGTGAAATCAAAAAATTTTAAACTCAATATTGACTTATTTATTCTGTCAATGTAAGTTTGATTATCTATTTTATAATACAGTAGACGTAAGAGGTTTCAATGTAAAATTTCTTTGAGTGAATTTATTTTAAATTATGTCAGTTCTGTATAAATTATTAATTACTGATTATTTCAGTATCATAGTGGTATATATATAGGGAAAAAATAATAGGATTATTTATTATTGACATAACGGTCAATGTTGTATACTCATATATAACTATTGGATGTCTGACTTCTATCTGAAGTTTGTGTTGATAATGTCGTTCAGAAGAACAATGAAAGCTCTATGACCAATTCATTTAGCTAAGAGAACAAAAGTAAATCGAAATCACCCACCTAAGCTATAAATGTTTTCCACCATCTTATCAAATTGTATATATAAAGACGGAATAAAGTTTATTACATAAAAATCAAACATTTATTTGTAAGTAAGAGTAAACATATGTTAATTCATTTCCATAGTTTCACTAATTACATATATTATTAAATTCTGCTGCTAAACATTTCACTTATGAATGGTACTACATACTGATAATATCTGTCAGAATAAGTAGCATACACCACAATATAAGTAGTAGTGTCATTTATTTACCATAAATCATTTTCACGTTACTAAAAATAAAAAAATTAGTAGTTTAAGAGTTGTAACATTCAAAAAGTAACATATTTACTATTCATAGCGAAATATAAATAAATGAAATATGACAATACCTTTCCGAGAATTAATGTCAATCGGAATAGAAGTTATTGAACTTGATTATCGCTTACACTTTTTTAACTTAATTTTAGATTAGTTAAACAATGACTTTTCAGTTGTATATTTTCTTGCTAACAACTTAGGAATAAGTAACTAACCAATATGAATCTGAAACATTATTATTGTGAATGAACTGACATATTTAATTATTATGGCGTCTATCAGATCATATGATAAGATCATTTAAACTTGATAAAAGGGATTTTTTCAACAACAAAAAAAAACAACAATTAATAAAATGAGATTTTTGGTAAAAACAAAATCTCGTTTCATTAATTGTTGGCTAAAAATTATAAAATAATTATGAATTACTTTAAAAAAGTGAATCCTTCCAAAGAATAAAAGAAATAATTTTTATATTTTGTCTACAAAATTAATTAGAGGAGATTTAAGTTGATGCTGAGAAAAAAAAAACAGAAAAAAATAATATTCGTTTTCTACAAAAAAAAAAGAACTGAGCAAGGAGTAAACAAAATCTAGATGAGAATCAGATTCCACTCAAATTTATTTGATGATTCAGCATTTCTCTTCACATCATTAACAATAACAATGTTGTTTATAACATCGACGAATATATATGCATATATATATATATATATATATATATATATATAATTCAGTCAAATATAGGACTTAATCGACTATATTTTCTAATAAATAATGACTCATCGATTCCCTAGACACGCAGATTTATCTAGTCACTACTCTATTAAACTACATCTACTGTTTTTCGTTGATGTAATACTCTTAAGAATTTAGTCTTTTCTTTTCACATTATTTTGAGTTGATTAACTCATGAATCTATTTACTATTGTCGTTTATATTCAGTAACAAAAAAAAAAGAAAAAAGAAAATGAATACATTATCACTATTAACTAACAAATTACATAATTTAATCATAATTTCAAGTATACAATTATAACTTATTAATGGATAGAAAAGTTTACAAAAACATTTTCTTTTTGTGTGTTGTTGTTGTTGTTGCTGTTTTTTATATAATTTGAAATTTTCCTCCCATATTACTTTTTACTTACTTAAAACCAAATGGAATTAAATAAGTTTCAGTGTGATTATGTTGAATGGTTTAATGGATTTTTTTTCTATTTTCATACTTTTTATTTATTCTTTTTTTATGATTATCGGTTTTCTTTCTTGTCTCTACTGACTGTTACAAATTCTTAAGGTGTTGTTTGAATCAGTTCCGTTTTTAAAAAAAGAAAAACTTGATTCTTTTTATCATAATGTTGTACATTTGTTTTTAATTCTTTGCTACTTTTATTCACGATCTTTCGGATGTCTACTATACACCTTAGAGAATAAAATTATATTAATGAATGAATCATCAATACATTAGATTATTAACACTTTCATAGTATGAAATTTTCCACTATATTATCAACCTCGTCATCATCAGCAATAATAACTAAATCATTTTGATTGAAATTATTATCATTTTATTATTATCACTTAACTATTGAATCCTTAAATTAAACTGATAAGTTGGGGTTGCGTGATTTCAAGTTGCATCTAATAATGTATGACATAATAGACTGTAAAAATCATTGTATTGGTCTCTTAAAATTGTTACTTTATTGATAATCAGAAATAAAAAGTAAGTAAACAAATTTGTTGATTAAATAGATGAGGTGATTCATCACCATTATCATCCATAATTTTGTTAATTTGATTTTTAAACTTCTAAGAAAAACTTATGAATTTTCTAGAAACTACTATTTGAAGGTAAATTTCATCATAAGTTAGTACTAAATAGAAAGGTATTGGGAAGCTAAAGCGCCTAACAAAAATATTTAATCATTGTTTAATAGTTAACAATGCATACTCATAGTTATACATATGATGTAACTTAAATGTTTCAAAACACAAAAGAAGCATGTGAATTGTTTAAGTACTATGTAATGTCGCGAATTGTCAAAATTGATTAATTTTATTGTTTAACCATGATTTATATAGTTCTGTTTTATTTATTACATTAACGATGTATGGTGCTTATATAGAAACAAAGATGTTCATATTCTTGATATGACGCGTATAACTTGAGTACTAGAACGCTAGAACCCTCCCAAGTCGCAATGAGAAGACAGAGGGTTAGTGAAAGAAATGTTACTTCAGACAGTGTCAAATTATAGTACAAAACTGTCAGGTATTTATAGTTTTTAGTAAGAACGAAATCATAATTATAGCTATCCAATCCGCACATAGGGGGTTATTAGCATTGTCCAATCGAGAAGCTACACGTAGAGATTCTAAAATATTCTTCCAAAAGTGGTTGGATGGAATATCTTCGGCTTTTTCCGAGCTTCTTAAGGATTCCTCGAATTCACCGGTGGACCGTCCTTACACCCCCCCCCTTTAAAGTTTGTTGTGTAAGACTTTTTTCTCGGATCCACCTGAAACTTGGTTACCGTAATTCTCTTGCGGTCCATCAATCTCAAACGTTGTACAGCTTTGCCCTTGTGTCTTGTATCTCTTCTACATTCGCGCTCCTGAGGGCTTTTTCGAGATGAATCCACGAGCTATTAAAACGAGAGTCGGCTTTGTGGGACCAATGTTCTGCCGTCACTCGGCTGGTAACTTTCCTTCTGATACTGCCGGATTAGGAGTATGTGTCAAAATTAAGAACATAAGAGTTGTTTAGGAGAAAAAGCTTTTAAAAATAGTTATTCAGTTAACAGATATAAAATATGATCAGATATATTCTGGTAAACACAAAATAGAATATTCATATAAATGAAAATAATACACGAAGTATAGATTAAATATATAAAAATGACAAAATACAACTTTAAAAGTACTTCAATAGTTCATAAATATCTATCTTGAACTAATGTGAAACCATGATACAAAAATATTCATCTTTCTTAAATCATTGACAATTTTAAACTATTGTTTAAAATGTTATTACAGATAGTTATATTTCGTCAGATTTTGTTGATGATAGATTATTTACTTATTTGCATTCAAATTACTTGAATGGGAATTAGTAGAATGTTCCTGAACCTACTTTTAATACTAGCTGACATTTATTAATAATTTATATGTGTAATCGTATTGAAAGTGATGCTCTCCATGGAATTCGAACCAATTTTTAGATAATATCACTGGGTTATACAATTCAAGACAAATCTCTTCTAAGAGTGAGATATTCTAAGAGTATTTTATCCATCAAGAAACCATTGTAACTTTAAATAAGCTAAATCAAAATGGTTATTGTCTATTATTGCACAATATTCAACATTATTATGTTAGTATTTCAATAATAATTATAATAACTAGAGAGGGCTTTTGTGGATATTACAGTAATTTAGTAGTTGAACTTATGAATCCATTGAGACTAAACCACGATGGAGAACCTGGACGCACTGGACGGTCGTTTAATGGATGTGCACTGTTGAGGATTCCCATACTACGACGAAACAGCCGTCCAGTGCTTTCAGGTTTTCCAGAGTGGTCTAGCTTTAATTGACTCAATTCAACTACGAAATTACTATAATATCCACAAAAACCCCTTCTCATACTAATCAGCATATACTCACAAGTGACTGGCTTCAAGAGGTATTTCATAGAGTTCTAGTGAGAAACAGTGAACAGTGGAGTTCAACTGGATCTGATGTGAGATAGTAACTCACTGAAGACAATGGTGGATATGTTGCTCAATTTTGTGAATTGTTTGAAGTTAGAAATTGATACCGTTGAATGTCGGTCGGTTCAGTGTTCTGTAGGTTAAGCGTTCTATCCTGTGTTCGAATTTTGCGAGGTTGAGTCGTGAATGCGCACTGCTGAGGAGTTCCACAATAGGACGAAACAACCATCCATTGCTTTTAAGTTTTTCATTGTTTTCTATCTTCAATTGACTGGTGAATTCAAATAATAATAATTGTTTATTTAATGCAAAGTTAAAATGAAGATTGAAAGAAATGTATTACTTAAATAAAAATTTCACGATTCATTTGATTTCTAAGGAAATTTTTGTTTTTATTAGTTCATAAGAATAATCTTCAACGAACAATCAATATTGAATATTTATTACAATTTTTTAAACAGAAAATAGTCTCTTATAAGTTATTTCTCTAATTTTTAGACTATAATATCATTCTAATTTAATCTTAAATGAATTTATCATATGTAGTAGTTTTCAAGTTTATTCAAATGATTATTAAATAAATAATAATGATAATACTAATAATGATACAATATAACAATTTATAGTTTTTCATTATATACTACTCAGTTTAGTTTTGTAAACTTAGTCATTATACATTTCGTTTTTAGCATTAAAAGATTTAAATTATCTTATTTATAATCTTGGCTGAATTTACATCAACATTTGTTCAAAATCTTGTTAAGATAATCAATAATAAAATAAGTTAATCCGTTCTAGTATTACTTAAATGACTATCTGAACTTTTTAGTTTGATGGATAAAACCTTTAGCGTTTAAAGTGGAAGGTACTGAGTTCGAGTCACGAGATGAATATGAATACTAGGATGTAGGTACATCCAACTGACAAGTCGCAAAATAAATGAAAGGAAGGTTTAGGATTCTAATACTAAACATAAGAATATTAGTTCTATGAAAATTTGTTTTCAGTCATTTTTTTTCAAAATTATTATTCAGAATACTATTAGTATGGAGAATGACTTTCATGTAATAGAAACTACTATTCTGATTATTAATCAATTTTTACTCAGTAACTAACTATAAGTATTTGTTATCAAGACATCATCATGAACTTCATGTAATTCCTAAAAAAGAATAAACAGATTAGGTAATATTCTTTGATGCAAATTCTTTACTGGCAAGTGTGATTAAGAATGAAGACTAAGTTGATTATTTATTACTAGAACTCCAGGAAATACTTCTTGAAGCCAGTCACTTGTGAGAATATGCTGATTAGTATCAGAAGGGATTTTGTGAATATTACAGTTCTTCCAGGTTTTCCATGGTGGTCTAGTTTCAATTGACTCATGATCTCAACTATTAAAATTAATATATCCACAAAACCCCCCTTTTGATATTAATCATTACTTAAATTTTAATATTATGATCAAATTAATAGAGTAGTACATTAAAAATCTTACTGTAATACTGAGGTGTATTAACTGACTTTTTTAATATGGATTTAAATATGTTACATTAGTCTTGTTAAATATAAATCTAACTGCCAAATTTCCATTTACTTTAATTATAAGCAAAACATCAAATGTCACAACACACTCATTTTGATGCAACATAACGAAAACGTTTTTTTATAATGTGAATTAAAAATTGATTAAAACGAAAGCAATCAATATAAACATTTCTATTATATTTCTCTTCACTACAACTTTAGGTCTTGATATGAAAAGTTGGTCAATTTATTTTGATTATAAACGAAGTTGGTTTTTACATAATGGAGAACATTTTGAACGAACTGACGGTGGAATACATGCTGGTAGTGTAGTTGGTATTCGACTAGATTGTAATAGAGGCAGTCTATCTTATTATTTAAATGATCAACCGCATGGTCCAATTGCATTCACTAATTTACCAAATGGGATTTATTATCCAGCTGTCAGTTTAACAAGAGCTATTCAACTAACTCTACATTCTGGTTTGGAAGCTCCTAGTGAGAGTGAAGAAAGTGATGAAGATAGTTCTGGTGGTGGAACAGGAACTGAAACCACTTCTATGGCAACCACTGTTTTAACCCTACCTTCTACATTACAAAGCAAAGGATTAAGGCAATGAATTTAATGACATTGGTATGTTTTAAATATTATAATTTTGGATATGTATAAAACAACCATCTATGTTCTTAGATATTTTTAAAATTCGCACGCCATTTATCTTGTATTTTATTTCACTTATAGGTTTAATCATTCAATAATCAACGACTTTTAGGTTCCTACGAAGTGATATTAGTAATACTAGTCTAGCAATCGATCCGTATAGAGGGGACTACAACCATAATCAGATTAAAAAAGAAAGCTACTTTGAATAAAAATCCCTTAGAAACAACCACAGATGTTTTTTAGGACCAATTATTTGAAATTACACAGTTTATGCAGATTTTACAACAGTTTCTAACAATCTGTCGGCTCCAATTTAGTAGTACACTATCTATTTTAGTTTCAAATGGAAAGGAGATAAATGAACTTATTCAGGTTCCACCCATTCTTCATATCCGGAGTTTCCCAAAAAAAAGAAACATATGGATTTCACTGATAAAAGATTGTTTGTATAAATTGATCATACTTTTGATGGTTGAACATGCATAACGGTAAAAATATTTAGTAATAGCATCTTGGTAGACAAGAAAGATGCTTTACTGTTGAGCCATCTCTTTTGCTGGTTAGAAAATATTGCTTGTAAAGTGGAGTTTTTAGTTGGTTCTCATAAGAGGTACCATTCCTTGTTATTTCTAAAGAGTACATTACAAATCCTATTAAGGTTCCAACACATTTCCATTTCGTCCACATAATAATATATAAGAGACAAAGATAGTTTTCTAAAACACACTATCAATATGTATATTAAAAACAATAAATAAACCCAACAAGATTGATTAAGAAAAATTTCGATTCACTGAGGAGGTCAGGTAAAAGAATTGTTTTCATTTCCTCTAGTTTACAATAAATTATCTAATGATTATTCTGGTAGAAATTTCTAAAATAAATTGTCATTCTATCTTGACGAGCATTTAATCCACTGATATACTGAAGTAAGATATTTCACTGACATCTTTGATGAAAAAGAATTTCAGTTACTCGGATACACAAAAAATGAAGCACTCTGATAAACCTCATACATATTTCTTGGTGATTTTAGGTGAAATGCATAGCGCATAATTCAATTTGATAAGTTTCTATATATTGGTATGAAGCAAAACTGCATTTTTATAAAAAAGTAGTAAACCAAGTCATTTGATTTTCAAAAAAACATATTGTTACAATCCATCTTGTATCTAGTGTACAACTTCATTCAAAAGGTAATTTTATTTTTTTATTTTGAAAAGAATCATAATAACTGGTTCTTAGAATTACATAATTCATAAAGTGAATAGTGTAGTTTTATATATAATATTACAATAAACTTCATTTACAATATTTCCGGTACATATACGTGAGTTTTCGTTAAGAGTTAAAAACAAAGTAAATTGGCGAAAATTTAAGTGATTGAATGGAGGTTAGTATTTTCTTAATCACCTATTAATATCTAATATTTATAATTATTGCTTCACATTGTCATATAACTTGATCATGTGAACATTGTTAGCTTAACAGACAGAATTTAATCACCCCTAACAGCTAGACAAAATAACGTCATAAGTCCTGACAGTTTAAATACAGGAATCAATGAAACGACCGGATATGAGCTTTAATTTTGTTTAAAGCCCGTATTCACGAAAAATTTTCTAAATGAAAATTTCTTACATAAACTTGAACTTTAAATTAAACTTAATGGATTTACATGGAATACTTCGAGGGACATATGTATTTAACCCAAATGAATGATTTAAGAAGCAAATAAAAATCTCCACAACCCCTAAACTGATAATTACAATGTGCTCACTAGTGACTAGCTTCGTGAGAAAATTCTCGGAGTTCTGGTGAGAAACCGTGACCAGTGGAGCTAATCCGTGTCGGGTAGAAACAGGTGTAACTGAAATTCTTTTTCATCAAAGATGTCAGTGAAATATCTTACTTCAGTATATCAGTGGATTAAATGCTCGTCAAGATAGAATGACAATTTATTTTAGAAATTTCTACCAGAATAATCATTAGATAATTTATTGTAAACTAGAGGAAATGAAAACAATTCTTTTACCTGACCTCCTCAGTGAATCGAAATTTTTCTTAATCAATCTTGTTGGGTTTATTTATTGTTTTTAATATACATATTGATAGTGTGTTTTAGAAAACTATCTTTGTCTCTTATATATTATTATGTGGACGAAATGGAAATGTGTTGGAACCTTAATAGGATTTGTAACGTATATATGCGAGTGGGTTTTTTGATACATTTTATGTCATTTTGTTCATTTAGTTTCATTATGTCATTCATAAATTCTACTGAAGGTAGTTTTCATTATGAACTAACATTAGATGAACAAATTAAAATTATGAAGTACTAACATAGTTGTGTTATTTTATTTCAGGACTCTTAAACATGCCACAATCACTTTTTCAATATTAAAGAACAAAGTAAGATTGATTCTATTTTTTATTTCTTTTTTTTAGATTATTAACTACATAATCTGCCCGTAAGTTTTTTTATCAAATGTTTGATTGTAAACAAACCATATGTAGCTCGAAGAAGTTTCAATCAAATGAAATATCAACTTCAGGCTATAAATTTAAAAAACAAAATATATACTTAAACTAATTAATTCAAGTAAAATTAAATCTTCTACCGTTTCTTAAAGTACATATACCTTTTAAATACATCTTACAAATACATAATGACTTTATATAACTACCTATGAAAACATTAAAATCTTAATGTTTATTTCACTTTCTTTTTGGATGTCTTAAATAATTTGAATTTTCATTAAATAACTTGATTATTATATATTTTCTTTGTATAAATCAACTAATATAATAATTTTATGCTTTATTTATTTAAAATGTTTGTTTTTTTTCTTGTGTGCATTATTATTTGATGAATACAAAAATCTTACATAAAATCTGTTAATGAATCTACAAAACATAATAATAACTTATTAATGTTTTGTTTATCTGAATTGAATATTGAATTGTGAACATTTAGTCATTTATAAACTTATTTTAAAGAAAAATAACAAAATAAGAATGAACAAATAAACAGGACTTGGTCATAAACAGATAAACCTACACCATATACATCATACATATAAATGATGTACAAATGATAACAGTTAACTTTTTGTTTATATTTTATTAAATCTTAACATAAACATTAAAGAATTTAAAATATAGATTATACTAAACATTTTAAATACATCAGTAAAACAATAATATTCATAAAAATAACTTTTTTTCCTCTCATTGGTTTTTTGTTTGTTTTTTGTTTTTTTCTTTATTGATCCAAATGTTCTTCCTAAGTTGTTTATTTATTTATTTTTTTGGTCTTATTTTTTATGTGTACATTTCAATTTGTATTGATTAAAAATTTGAATAGTGTAAGGGATATAACAATTAGTTTTGTTTAAATATTAACTTATTAATTCTATTAACAAGTTACATCCTAAAATTATTGATCAATTATCAACTATTTGTTTTGCTTAGTTTTCTTTTTTTTCTTTTCTATGTATGTTTTCTTCGAAAAAAAACAAACAAACAAACAGACAAACAATTTAATTACATTTGAAATAATAATTTTTTAAACAAAAATATGTAAACATTTTTTTCAGAAGTAAATCTGTTGTGAAATTGTGTAATATGATTGTTTTGTTTTTCTTTTGATTATGTCAATGTAATTTGTGTGTGAATTTATCTTTTGAAATCTTATTCAACATGATCAATTAATGTAATCATGAATTTTTCTTTCTTTTTTTAATTAGTAACATATGTACACAAATATTTGTTGTTGTATTTTTATTTAGAAATTAAATGATTTGTTTACAGGAGAGAATTAAAATATAAAACTTAATCATTCATTTGACAAAAGAATATCATTTATTCATTTATATCTGGTTTAGAAATAGATTAATTTATCAAATCATAATGAGTATTCATTTTTCTTATTGATTATTTTAAATCTCCCTACTGATGTTGTGAATTGTAATTACTTACTTACTTATGCCTGTTACTCCTAATGGAGCATAGACTCACTCTGTCCTGGGTCCTCTTTTCTAGTTCCATCCAAGTCTTGTCCATTTTTCTCATGTCTATCTCCATTTCCCGGCGTAATGTATCCTTTGGTCTTTCTCTCCTCCTTCGACCTTGAGGATTCCATGTGAGGGCTTGTCTTGTGACGCAGTTCCGTGCTTTCCTCAATGTGTGTCCTATCCACCTCCAGCGCTTCTTCCGAATTTCTTCGTCCGCTGACATCTGATTTGTTTTCTCCCATAGTAGGTTGTTGCTGATAAGTGTCTAGCCAACGGATCCGAAGTATTTTGCGTAGACAACTGTTAATAAACACTTGTGTCTTCTGGATCATGGATTTGTAGTTCTCCAGGTTTCCGCCCCATACAGTAGAACTGTCTTAATATTTGTATTGAAAATTCTGACCCTAGTGTTGGTTGCCAATTGTTTTGAAATCCAGATGTTCTTCAATTGTAAATATGCTGCTCTTGCTTTGCCGATCTGCGCATTCACAACTACCTCGCTAAAAATGAAATGTAATTAATTAGATACTAATCAATTATAGTCTTTAATATCAATAGGAAGATCTTAACAATCAGTATATACAAATCGAAATTGATCTCATTTCACAAGTCAATGGCTATCTGGACTCAGTAACTAAGTGGATAACATGATGAGGTTGGAAATGTAATGAAATCGATTGGAATCCGATGGCGAATATCAACACTGGGATGCAGATATATCTAGCTGACGAGTTCTAAATGTGACGGAATGCTAGACTTTATCTATAATGATTATTGTTGAATTATGTTCAATCTTAAATGTTTTAACACTTGAGTGCTTTTTATGTTACCAAGTTAAATAAGCACCATTCAAATGTTCTGATGGATTGTAATTAAACGATTTTATGGATTTCAACTCATCAAAGTAGAACAGTGATCCTTTTTATGCTAAGTCAGGAAGTTTGATGGTGGGGTTTATTCTACCCTGCTTTTTCATCAGGTATACTAGCTTGACTCGTAAGGTTAGTGATATAGCGCAATAATAATAAAGTTATGAAACCTTATCGATGTGACCGTTAATATCTATCAATTAAATGAAGTTTTAAAAGAGCAACGTGTGTACTAATAGATTGGAAATATTGCTTACAAGGAAATGATCTTGAATTAGAGAAAACAGTTTTCATCTTTAGGAACTTGCTTCGTCTAAATTCAATTAAAATATTTTGAACACAGTGAACTGAAACGTTGATAGATTTTGCGTTAGTTATGAAAAGATGTGTTGTTACTAGTTATATATATATATATATATATATATATATATATATATATAACTGAGAAACTGTAAAATAAGCGATATGTAACTAAAAATAGTTATCACGTTACGTTTCTTATTAAAACACATTATTCGTCTTTGCTTTTCTGATAAACCGTAAGAAACATCGGCTGTCATATTATTGAACTGCACAGTTTTTGAAGATGAGAGCTAAGTAAATTTGCACCTATTGTGAATAAATTAAGAGACTTTATTTATACATTACAAGCGCCTAAATCAAAAGTTATTCTAATCATTGATCCATTACCTTGACCTAGACGATCTATCAGTTATTTGTCAGTTCATTTTCTTTGAATTTAAATTTCATCTACTGAATAAGAAAATGCTTTTTTTAAGAGAACATAAATGTAGTGTGATGAAAACTTAATTGTTGAAGTATGTAAGAAAACATAAAGCTCTAATTTAACTGAATATATGATGATAAGACTATATTTAGATAATCAGCGAGCATGGATAATTCAGTTATATTAAAGTTCACCTACTTATATTGAAATACTCTCTCATGATGGATAAAGTATTTTTCAGTATATTAATTCATTTAAATGGTTATTCTACCATTAAGCGATTTAATAAATATGCGGGCTAGGACTGTTAAAGTAACATAAATCATCACAAATTTCCATAGAATAAAACGTAAAGTCCTATTGCTATAACAGAATTTAAATACGACTAATATGTAACATCGTTTATTCAATCATTACGATAACTGAAGTAGGTATCACTGAATTAAGTTTCATACAAATAGTTCTTTTATCAGCTCGAAAAGGTAAAATTTATTTATTTGAAATAATAGTTCAACAAGTTATTCAAGTATTTACTTTTATACGAGAATCCTGGACAAACAATTGTGTATATAATGACCAAAAGATCGATTTAAGCTCATATTTAGTGGTTCGAATAATGCATTCCCTCCCAACTCAAATCTACATTTCTCCAAGAACATCAATTCAACCAACATCTTAATCGTTTATTCACACTGATTTTCGAACAAAAATGAAGGTAGATCGTTCAGAACAAATCTTCTGCTTTCAAAATAGACTGTATTTCATTTGCAACTGACTTAATAGGCAAATAAGATACTGTCTATACTTACTTGATTGTCTTCAGTCAACCGAAGCCCTACATGAAACGTAATAAATATCTTTAGTCAATGGATAGATCAACCATCAAAAAAAATTTTATTGTCATTAAAGCTTTCGGAATCATCAAAATACTTTAGTTCATTCGAAGAAATGACTACTTTTTTCAGACTTTATCGGAATTGTTTGAAAAATATCACGGTAAGTGGATAATCATTACATCGCGTTCATTTGAATTCATCATCGTTTGACAGAATGAAAACTTATCTGGAGATTTCAGATTATCAGCTTATTCATAGTATTTTCAGCTTGATTGTGTTTGGGGAAGGCAATATCACGGCGAATTGTTTTAAAATACAGACTCTATCTAAATCTTGCAATGCGCTTTCGCCTTATTAATAAAAACAGAAGAATATTGAATTGCCCCAGGTTACATAGAAAAAATAGGATAAAATATCATAAACTAGATTTGACTCATGAAAGCTTATTGAAATGTAACAAACTCACTTTTGAGATAGAATAAAATTTAAGATTTAATTCCAACGTTGCAGCTAACTCTGTGCAGATCTTATGTTTCATATCTACTTGGTCAAAAGTACTAATATTTCATCCAAACTGTATTTAATTAACAACTTGACAGAACCGATTTTCTTCATAAGTTACACAAAGCAAGAAAGACAATATTTACATAGTACAGCGAGTTAAGCACTGAAGTATACCTTGATTTCAAAATAAAATGCTCAGTAAAGATTGCAAAATCAGTAGTCTTGGTAGGAACTTATGGCTGGAGTTGGAAATATTATTGAGATTGATCTATAATGCCCATAGTTTAATAGCCAAACGGAGGAAATATTTATAAACGTATTTAAGTTTTAGAAGGAGTTATGTGGAGATTGTAGTAATTTCAATAGTTGAGATCATGAGTCAATTGAAGCTAGACCATCATGGAAAACCTTGAAGCACTAAACGACCGTTTCATCCTAACACAGTTGGATGCCGGCTCAGTGGTTTAGTGGTTAAGAGCTGGTGCACGGGACTGATAGGTCATGGGTTGTGGATGCTCACTGCTGAGGAGTCCCACAATAGGGTGAAACGGCCATCCAGGTTTTCAATAGTGGTCTAGCTTCAAATGACTCATGATCGCAACCGTTGGTATTAAATTTTTCAAATAAATTTGAATATATATATATATATATATATATATATATATATATATATATGTTCAAATTTATTTTTAAAGTCACTAGTAATTACATCAATACCGATTGACTTTCATAATTATACTAACCTTGATGTTAAGGTTTTTGTAGAGTTTTTGCCTATAGATTTTGTCCAGATCTCATCAGCTGATAATTTATTAAACCTTAATAACCAATTACAAAGTCATAATAGTTCAAACTGTGAAAAGTAGTAACATTAACCAAAAATATTCAGTATCATTTTTAGTGTTCGATTTTCGAACAAACTACCATTGATGCAATTAAATAAAAAATGCTTACGCAGTTCGTTCTGGAAGTTCAGATAGACGTCAGTTGGAATACAAAAATGTTTTGTGCTTATAAATAAAAGGAAATATATTAGATGTATTGTGTTCCATTCCTTTGCATAGTATTTAATTATAAGCACAAAGTATAACATAGATTTCATTTGTATTTCATAAATCCACTTGATATATCATATTACTCTAACTTAAATTCATTTAAAGTACTTATAAGTGTTTATATCTTGTAGATTAAGTAGCTACTTTAAAGAGGACAAAACAACCTAAAGGGTGTATAACATAAAATATAATGGCTTGAATTAGTTACGATCAAACCGTTGGTGATTTTGAGTTAAGTTTTCCAACAGGTGTGTGTATGTATTTGGTCGACTCTTTGAATCCATTTTGAAAAACAGATGCATTATTTGAGATTTAAATCTTTTTCATTCATAAAAAAGTCAGTGATAGTTAATAAGTATTATTTGAAACTATTTAGGACACTAAATTGAATTCATGTGACACCAAACATATGAAAAATACTATGTCTTGAGAGTTTCTATTTTCTGCCAAGTAATATTGTAGTGAACGAGAACACAAACGGGGACAATCGAATGTATTTGAATACAAAATTACAGAAGCCCTTAGTAGAAACTGAGAGTCATAGTTCATTTGCAAAAATGTCAATCAATCGTCTCAGATTTCATTGTTTCTTCGTTTCCACACCAATCATTCTCTGTTCTCGTTCTCTTTTCTTTGATCTTCTTAACCTTCTACCTCCAAGCATTTCACTTTTGATTGATGATATATACTACCTACATCTGTCGTTGTCAGTAGCACACACCACAATATTATTTAAATAATAATTACTACCAAGTATTAAATAATGACAAAAGAATTCCTGTTGCATCATCTACAAAGATATATATATATATATATATATATATATATTTAAAAACTGGATCTCATGAGAGGAAGCTTGTTATTTTCCTCAAAATCGTAGCTATGTCTTACTGATGAATGCCAACTAACACGAAACCCAAATCTAGGTTATTTTTTAATTAAGCCACTCACCTGATAATAACAAATATTTAGTTTTCACAGTTTAATTCATCATAGTTTTTAGTCTTCTACTTACATAAACATGAAGTTAACATGAACCTTAGGTCTGTAATGAAAGTATTCAGTTTCTCAGCTAAGATTTTCCATTATTTGGTTGAGTTTCATGTTATTGATTATATTATTTTTAATGGATAATTTGACATACACTAACTTCCTGCATGT